GGGGGGGACAGAGTGGGACAGGGGTGCTGGGCTGGGGGGTGCCAGTTGGACGGGGATGTGGGTGGGAGAGGGGGCAGGGCAGGACAGGGGCACCAGGGCGGCTGCAGGTGGGACAGGGGCAGGGGCCCGGGGCACCCCGGTTTGGGAACACGAAACCCCACCGGTGTCCCTGCGTGCTGCGGATCGCAGTCCCCAGGGCCACCCGGGCACGGGTGACGCAGGGCTGTGGGACGTGTCCGGGGCTGTGGGACGTGTCCTGGCCCATGGCCACGGGCTTCCCCCCCTGCTCCCGGGGGGCACGCGAAGCCCCCGGCCTCAGCCCATCCCGGGCGTGAGATTTTGGGACGTGATGGTCGTGCACCCCCAGACGAACGGTGGCTCGTGGGTGACGGCCACCAGCCCGGGCTTCCCTACAGAGCTGGGCACGGGGCTGGAAAGCCCTGGTACTGCCCGGCAGAGCCACGCCAGGGAGGGAGGCACCGAGACCCCGAGCATCACCCAGGGACCCCTGACAGGGTCCCCTCTGGTCCAGGGGACCGCTGTCTCCGCAGCCACGCTGCCTGCCCTCTCCCTGCTCCTGGGGGACGTTTCCATGCCCCCCACCACTGCAGGACCCGTCCCTGTCCCCTGGTCCAGCCCTGGGCAGGGGGCTCCCCTCCGTGTCCCCCCCACCCTGATCCCCCACAGCAGGGCCGCGGTGGGGCTGGGGGCTGCGGTCTCGCACAGAAGCCACCCCAGGCTTTGCTGGGTGACGCTGGGGGGGTCTGGGCACACGGTGATGGGGAGCACGGGGACGTGCGTGCCGTGGGGACGCTGCCTGACCCGGGCCCCCCCCTGCTCCCCAGGGGGTCCCTACGGGGCCGTGGGGGTGGACCTGGCCTTCGAGAAGCTGCTGTGCCACATTTTCGGGGAGGATTTCATCGCCACCTTCAAGGCCAAGCGCCCCGCCGCCTGGGTGGACCTGACCATCGCCTTCGAGGCTCGCAAGCGGGCGGCAGCCCCCTCCCGCGCCAGCCCCCTCAACATCTCCCTGCCCTTCTCCTTCATCGACTTCTACCGCAAGCACCGGGGCCAGAACGTGGAGACGGCCCTCAAGAAGAGCAAGTGAGACCCCGGCTGCGGGCAAACGGCAGGGCTGGGGGACCGTGGCCCCCGAGGGACCTGAACTGGGGAGGGGGAGAGGGCACAGGTGGGTGGGGTGCTCTGCTGCTGGGGTCCCCGGGGCAGGGGGAGCCAGCCCTGGATCCTCTCTCCCTCCCCAGCGTCAACTTTGTGAAGTGGTCGTCCCAGGGGATGCTGCGGATGTCCTCGGAGGCCATGAGCGAGCTCTTCCAGCCCACCATCAGCCAGATCATCAAACACATCGGTAGGTCCCGGTGGGGGGGGCCCCCCTCCCCTGGCACCCTGCGGCGGCACCCCGAACCGTGCCCAGCACCCGTCCCCGCCGGGGCGGGGGTGGAGGGGCGCGGGCCAGCCCC